TTATTATAAGGGAATTATAATATTTGCAGATTCCTTGTTTCATCTGAAATACAAAAAAATGCCAAGTTTTAAATGATACATTTCACTCAAATTGCAACACTAATAATATAATTTACCATTAAAATGTGTATCAAAATGCGAAACAGTGGTCTCAGAATTTTGGACTTCATTATATGCAAGACCAAAACTGCTTGAATGAGTACACAGACATATTTGCACACACATTATGATGCATAGAAACATGCAAGATTTGGTTAAAACACTCAACGGTGTACTTGTAGAAGTTGTACTGCATGTGGAAAAGTAAACATACATTTAACTCTTGTGGTCTGCTGGTAGTTCCTTTTGAATTCACCTACTTTTTAATATTTCTTCTGCTCTGTCTGTAAACACATGACTTTCTCAGCCTTTCTCCCGCCCTTTCTTTAGATAAAAATTGTATTCATTAATTTAGGTCACTGTTAGAATGCCAGGTAGAGTTTATTTGTTGCAACCATTGTCTGAGTGGCCACACACAACACACAAACATGCAACACAATTTGTAATTGACAAATGCTTTCTCAGCATGAAGATACTTCAGTGCTGGGGCAGCAGGAGAGAGCATATCTGGAGGAAGAGCGGCTCAGGGTTATGGCTCGAGTGGACGAGCTGAAGACTCGTGTCACTGACCTGGACCAGCAGATACAGGAGTCTAGACAAGAGGTTAGACTGAATCATAAACCTACAGGCCGTTGCCTGTGTGAGGTGTCTACAAGTACAAAGTGCACATAACTTCCTTCAGTTCCATCATAACTGCGTGAATGAGAGTGAGAGATGTAGATTTTCACATCACAACTTGTAAAATCTGTTCAATCACTAGTCGTCTTCATCTACATCAGTGCATCACCATCTGCCATGCATAGAAACATCTTTGGTGTTGCATATTAAAATCGATGTGAATACAGGATTTTGCCTGATCAGCAGAGCTGCGCTATTCATGAAACAGAACTGAAACATATGGAAGGGAACAGACTGTTGAATGTGACGTTTTATTGGCAGGCAGAGATGGAGAGGGCATTACTGCAGGGGGAACGGAGGGCGGAGCTTGATCAAGTGGAGGCAGAGCTGGAGATCATCAATCAACTTCAGCTGAAACTGAATGAAGTGGAAA